ATGTTATCCTTTATCATATATATATATACATATTGGTCTTTCAAAAATTAAAAAAAAAATTTTTGTATTAAAATATGATTAAAATAATGGTTGAATAAATTTTCTTTAATTTTGTATACTCAAAAATTAAAATATTACGCATACATATGTAATAATAAAGGATAATAGATAAGGTATATATATATGCATGTTGATATATTGCAATAATAATATAAGTATATACAATAATATAGATAAATATATGTGCTGTTCTTAAAGCTGGCAACAAAAATCTATTCTATCAAATTGGATATAATATTTTTTTTTTAAAATCTTCCAAAAATATTTCTGTATCGCTCTATCCATACATACACGTATAACATTGTGTGAGAAATATTCAATTATTCTTTTGTATAATGGTACAAATGAAAGGATAAATAACTCATTGTAGGATATAATAAATTCGTGACATCATTTGGAATGATCGTCATTGTGTAAATTTAGATATTTTCTGATATACTGATTGAGTTAACGCTACTTTAGAATAATAAAAGACTTCAGTACACCTTTCTGTGTACTGAGTAAAGTGTAATACTGTTGCTCGTAGGGAAATACTGGAGCTTTTCTCCAACGGCGGCGGAGTTGCGGGGTACACAATAGATCCTTATACGCGGTCGCCGTGAACTGTTACCCCCGTTGTGCAAATCTACAAATCTATACAATCTACAAAAGCTTTACTTAAAATTAAATTCTCTAATATTTTGGTTCCTTTAAGTTTTTGTGAACCTTATTGTTATTTGTAACGACCAAATGATTTCCTGCAGAATGCTACTTGCTCTTTGCTTTACGCAGATCACTTGTTTTTTTAAAAAGTACAACCGAATTTCGAGGTTTCAATACCCACTGAGTACCTCATACACATGACTTCATATATCCTATGAATATCAAATCAAACTCCAAATCTTTTCTACATTTTATTTTAGCTTTAATATATTTTTTTTTTGATTTTCTGTGGGAAATAAGTTATGATTTTCCATATTATATCAGGAAAACTTCCTAGCGACTTTAAAAATAAGTACAAAAATTTAACTTGGGAAAAAGTTTCTTATTATTATTACTTTTTATTTCTGAATTTTCATTGTTTTTCTCTCTTTTTTTTATTATTATTCTATTTTATTTCTGTAGCTTCACTTTAAGAGATAAAATTTGATTAATTTTATTATAGAAACAACAAAACACAAAAAGAAAATAAGTAGCAACTAAAATAACAATTATTCTCTTAAGGATATGCTTTACTATGCTATGTATATATACAAAGTTTCTATGTATATTTAGATAACATTATATGATCCCGTTTGTATCCACCACGGGTGGCAAAGTAAAAAACACAAACAGAACAATGAGAAATTTGGAAAAGTTTATATTTTTGCCAACAATGAATTATTGACGGAAAACATATGCAATCATAATTCACATACAAGCTTGCTGTATAATTCACTCATTTTACACAGTTAAATCTATTAAAAGTTTTTTTAAATGTACAATAAATTTAAAAGTTCGTATATAAGTTCATATGAGGAACGATGTGTTTTAATTGAAAAAAAATCAAATTGATCACGATAATAAAAAATTGAAAAACATACAGTCTTCTAAACTTACAAATTTTTACGGGAAGTCACTCGAAGGGGTATACAATGTACTTTAACAAGCTGCCTTTAGGATTTGAAATACACAGATGACATCGCTCTGCTAGCCCATATGCATTTAGACACGCAAGAACAGCTAAATAGGTTGCATAATAAGAATGGCAGAAGTCACACTGAAAATTAACAGAAGAAAAACCAAATCACTCCGAATAAACACAGTAGACCCTTCCCACTTCGTTATAAATACCCGCATAATACAAGATGTTGAACAATTCAAAATCATATGATGAGTATTCTGGCCCAGACAAATAACTAGCACTGACCTTTAGGTTTTTAATACATCGCAAGAATAATTAGAAAGAAGAAATAAGGAATGAAAGTGCACCTGGAAAAATTGCAAGACAGGTATTGGACTGCAACCCGCAAAGAAGAAGAAGCGTTAAACGACCCAAGACTACATGGTAAAGAACAATGAACAAACAAATCTCCACGGCCAACATGACATGGGCGGAAGTAAAACTAATGGCCCCTAAAAAATTGCTTTGGAAAAGCTTTGTGAAAGCCCTATGCTCCCAAGGGAAGTAAAGCAAGAACAAAAAAAAAAATAAATTTTTACCAAATGGATAGGATTTCCGATTGGACTCCGTGGAAAATGTTCCTCAACAAAAATTTGAAAGAAATATGTTGGCACACTATGGCCTTTTCATATGAAAGTGTAATTTTTCTACCAAGGTACGAATACACGAAAGCACTTCTTCCAAGATTTTTATCAGAAATATTCGATGAAATTTGTTTGGTACACCTTGTATTATTAGAAAACTGCTTGCTATTCCTTAAATATAGTGCGAAAAATTTTAAATTTCGTCATTTTGGCACAACTTTCAATATTTATGCTGGGTACCTTATAATTTTCAGACATAAACTTGTTTTTTTGTTCGTTTTGCTTTCGTCTTACAATAATCTAGAATAAAATAACCTTTTGAGAATACGAAAGCTGTACATTTTTTGTGATAAATACTTGAAGTACATTCGTTCATACATTAATTGTTATACATAGTAAATTTACACATTTACACACACACACATAACATACATATATATAAGTTTTCCTCTTAAAATGTTATACAATTTAAGAAAAAATTTTCTCAGGATGGACTTGTCTAGTCTTGACGTCAAATTAAGTAAAAACAACTAAAAAGTAAAAAATACAAAAATAACATATGATTTATTTATTTATCACATGTTTACATACTCTCATATAAATTTACAAGGATATTTATTATATAATTTTTGTAATTTATTTATGATTAATTTCTTACATATGAAACTTTTTTATAATAAATAGAAAAATTTTTAAGTAAATAAAAATTAAAAAATTATTTCATATAAATCTAAAATACTCTCATTTTTAGTGTTGGTAATCGTGCTCCTGAAAGTTATTTAATACAGGAAGTTTCCATAACAATTATTTCACCTTTCAATAAATCAACGAAATCGAACATTGTTACACATAACATTTATAATACACTGCACGAAACTTCGCGCACTTTTAAAAATATTGCATATTTTGGTGCAATTTAAAATATCTTTTTAATTTTTCTGCAATTAAATCAAATCCATTAAATGTTAAATTAATTAAAATAAATTTTATTTCATTTTTAGTTTTCCAAAAATTTCAATACAATTTTTGATCAGCTAGGATAATTACTATTTGTTTATGCCTGTTTATGGGGTGGCTAGTAGTACGAGTGCAATTACGAGAAATATTCTACGTTTAGAAACATTAAAACGAAAAAAAAGGACAATAGAATTTCATCATCCTTCATTTTCTACCACACAAAATTGAATTAATAAAATTTTTTTAAATAATATAAAAATATTAGCATAATGAGAAGGGAACATTAGAATTAAATTTATGAGTACATAAAATTGATAAGGATCCTTTATTACTCGGTCATAGAAAAATTTATTAAACAAAGAATAGAAATATATTAAAATTTCATAGTTTAAGCTTTCCTATTGAATGCAATGGTAATGCAGTGAAAATTTTATTGTACTATTTGAAACCCTTGTCGTGTATAAAAGTAGAAGGCTGTATTACAACAGCTATTGAGATATAAAACATTATGAAAATAAAAAAAAATCCTTCACTTTTTTTTCAATTTCCTTTAAATACGAGTATAATTATAAAATTCTTTTATTTTTATCGCCCCATTGCACCATTGCAATCTGTCGTGTAATACATGAAAAATTATATACTGGAACAAGTCAAAGGCGTCTACAAGAATGTTAAAATTTTGTGAATTATGTGTGCATATCATATGAAGTTTTGACTTTTATCACTCATTGTCACTCTATGTGGCGTGAAGTGCATGAAGTAAGAAATGAAAGAATTTTTTAAATAAAAAGCTTTGTTTTAGCATTTGATATTCTCAAATTTATACTGGTGACATAAATGTTCCTATTGTAAAATTTTATGATGTGATTTGTCCTAGAAAAGAGTCTTAAATCATATTTGATTTATATCGAAAATTTTTCTAGAGCATATTTGACCAACATGTGCGTCATAATGTTGCCTAATATTCTACCTTTTTTTCCAAATTTCTCAGTAAAATTAGTGGAAAGATTTACATGCTTACTTCATTCTTGATGAGTTACCTCAAGTTATCCTTAAATTGCTTCGTATGTGCGGTTGTTGCATACACGAGTAATACACCATGATCCTACTTAGTATAGTTTTTTATACTAAACTAAAAAATTCATCTGCAACACGGTCGATTTATTAGACTACTGTTGCAAATGAGTTTAATTGCTTTCTTATTTTTCTATACCTCTTTGTAGTCCAAGAATGTGAAACGAAAAAAGAAAACTTTTAATTTAATTTCATTTTTTACATGGATTTTGCGTGTACTTTTTTGCGGCCTCCTTATATACTGCCTCATAAATTATTGTAAAGTATTTTTATTCTACTTTTATTATAAATTAAATGCATATACTACAACCCCGATTAAGGTAATAAAGAATGTTCTGAATTTTAAATCTGATCTGATTTTAACATTAATTTTGTTTTCTATAGAACTCATAAATAATGGTAATTTTTAATTTATTTTTAATTGTATTACATGCAAGCCTCTTTGAGAGTCCTTTTATTTAAACAAACTTTCAGTAGAAAATTATTTTTAAATCATTTAATTTTAAATATAAATTAAATTATAATAGGTGGAACAATTGCCGGTTTCATTTACACAAAAGAAAAATGGGTGACAGAATACATTGTAATCTACTAATCTCATCTGCTGATCTCGTTATATTATAATTAAATTTATATATATATCTATGTAAACTCTTGAACACGTTCTCTGTCTCAATACAAAAATGCAAAATTCACCGACAAGTGCAACAGGGGTTTTTGAATAATTTGCTTTTTTGTAGTCATAGGATAGCACGTCCAGTGCAGAAACTGTACAGTTCCGTTACGTCCACTTGAATAATTTGCTTTAGAAGTTTCATATAGCCCCTGACGCACATATGGCTCAGGAACGTATCAGTGGTTATCAAGCGCACGTTTCCTGAACCATATGTGACTCAGCGGATATGGAACGTGTTAATCTAAAAAAAAAGTATTTATAGAAAGCATTTGTTTCATAATGCAATATTATTATATGTTCCAAATCGTTTTAAAACTCCAAATTTTATTTATTTCAATTCCAGATAGCAGCCAATCATGCTATATTAAATAAGGATTTCGAAACAGCTAATACAAATGCAAGGATACCAACATTAACAACAGAAAAAACAACAAATTCGAGCGTAATTCCTGAAACAAAGAATTGCACAGATAATGTACAAACTGGACCATTATTTATAGATTCATATTTAGCACCATGTATGCAAGCATTAGCTTACTATATCGAATTATTACAATATGAACCAGCATCAATGACAACATTGGAACCACCATTTGAAGGTTGGGAGGCAGAAGGTGGTACAACATATAAACCACCACCGACACCACCAAGACCGTCAACAACTACAACAACAAAAACATCAACAGTATGGTGGAAACCACCTTCAACACAATCAACCATTTGGTGGGTACCACCATCAACAACAAAACGTACAACAACGTCATATCCAACAACTACAAAATACACTACAACAACAAGAAAACCAACCTATATAACAACAACGCCAAACTATGATTCAACGGAAATGACAACACAATGGTGGCAAAAAACTACAACCGGAAAACCAATAACAACAACAACATTAAAACCAATATCAACAATAGCTAGTACAACACAAACATGGTGGCAACCACCATCATGGTGGACGACATATAAACCAACAACTACAACAACTAAAAAACCTACAACAACTTATAGACCTGTAACAACAACATATCCACCTGAAACAACACCATTCCATCGTCCTGGTTTATTTGCACCATCAAAATTACCGATATCATCACCAAGACCTCCACCATTATCAGTAGCACCAGTAATGTCATTTGCAGCCAATTATAGACCACAATTTACATCATTAAATAATAGACCAAATCGTTATGATTCAAATAGAAATCAAAAATATTTAACACAATTAAGCTCAAGATATCAAAAAGCTATTGATATTGATGCTGATATTGTTGGAAGGAGCTCTTTAAACTTAAATGGTGATAATAGAGGAACATCATCATTAGTGGCATCATCGTCATTGGAATCATTAGAAAATGGATCAACATTTTCACATCCATTTGACAAGGATTTCTTTTCATGGTTTACTCAAAAGAAAGCAAAAATTTATAAGCCTGATTATGGTAAGCTCTCCTTTATAATCTTTTTCTCTTGTATAAATAATTCTTACATAATATATAAATCAAGTACACACTAAATTCTTATAAACAACCATTGTGTGATGGTTAATTATGGTGGTGAGTAGGTATAAAGTGTGCTTGAAAAAGCATTATTAAAATTATTTTTACTTAATAGATCTTTAATTCTTTGTAATTTTTATGTTAAACTATATATGGGTAAGAGAATCTAGCGAAAATCCTTCGTATATGTAATATCATGGTTTTGAAATAGTGTTAAAATCTAAGAGATTTATAAAAAAAAACAAATGTGTTAAGGACTTTTTACTTTAAAACAATAAAAATGTAAGGATATATGAAAGAAATTTTCTTATTATTTTTTTTTTATGTATTACAGAATATGATTTTCAATTGTTGGATCCATTGCCAGGGGCATTAATACGCGATATATTACAAGAGAAATCTGAATTACCAGCACTTACAGATAGTGATAATATAAATGAATTTTTAAAAATTTATGATGATAATTTTGGTAGATTAAATTCAATTACTGGTAAAAAACGTATACCAATAACAAAACCTTATGTTGAATTTTTAATGTTATATGATATGCTGAAACGTGATGCAAAAGCAATGAATTTATCAATGTATGAGGTAAGTTTCTCTTTCTTAATTTTACGTTATGTTCACGGAATATTGCAATTATATAATTATTTTTTTTGTCATGTTTTGAATGAAACAGTTTGGCAATACCTTATACTGGTAAGCGCAATTGTGAGTATTTTGTCTGGGAATAAGAACAAGAGCTATTCTATAAAGCATAAATTCTAATAAAAACTATTTAACTTTAGTTCTTTATTTTTAGATTTTTACCGGTTTTTCAGAATTTTTTCCGTTTGCATTTTTTCAATATTTTTACAAAATGTAAAAAAATTTCACTTTTGATCTTTCAAAAATTTTTGCAATATAAGTTGAATTTTCTTCTTCTTGTTCTAAAAAAAATAACAAAAAAATTTTACTATTAATAATTTTTTTTTTTTTTTAAAAATTAGCGAAAATTTGTTCTTTAAAAGGAAAAACTAATTCATTGTTAAAGAGAAAAAATTGCGCTACTAGCCATTACGCTATGATTTCTGAATTAAAATGAATTTTATGATGAAAAAAAAACTATTTTTGTTCTAAAATAAAAAAAAATTGTTTTAATAAAAATAAAATATCTTATACTTGACCTAAATTTCCTCTCCACCTTATTTAATGAACACAAAAAAACACTATAATAAAATTTTTAATAAAGAATAAAAGAGAAAAACCTTCTATTACTGTACTCTTTTTTTCTCAAAACAAAACGTACATACATACATATATAATAAAATAAAAATATTATCCTTGTTGAGGTTGCTGTGTATCCTTGTTACAAATATAAAATTTCATTATCGCTATCAACTTACAATACCACCTTTATAACTGCATTATTTTTATATTTTACATATACATATACATAGAGAAATTCAAATGGTTTTTAACCTCACAATTCAACTTAAAAATTTCACAATTAGAATACAAAAATAAATTCATTTTGTCTTATATACTTTACTTTTTATATGACATTTTCCGAAAAAAATTATTTAAAAAAAATGATATTTGTATTAATTCAGATATGTATGTTCAGATGTATGTTCAGATATGATGAGTACACAAATAAAATTTGTGAAATTGTGAAAATTTTTCGCCCCTCTACTGATTTTTTGACAGATGACATAATTTAAATAATAAACTTATTGACATTTTTAGAATGTGCCATAAGCAAACTGATTGGGCCATGTTCGGGCGCCAGCGCTAATATTAATTTAAAAATTTAGATTTAAATAAATCAGTAACAGAAGTAATGATGTCAATTGGTCCTGGGAAAAAACTATTTTCAATAGTGAATAAATTAATATTATTAATAAAGATTTAATGTAAATGAGTAAATGAATGGACACTCTTATGATTCAATAAGTATGTAGATGCATGAGTATACTGAATATATGAATAATGAATATGAATTAATTACTGAATGAGTATTTTAATGAAATATAGGTGACGAGGTAGAATAATTAATTGAATAATAATGGAGTTACAATGAGAGTGATGAGTGAATAAGTTTTGGGGTAAAGACAGGGAGCGTGTGATGAGTGAATGAACTTTGTAATAAAGACGGGGAGCGTTGAATCTAGTGTTTACGGGTCAAATCGAGGACGATGAGTGAATGAACTCTGAGATAAAAACGAGGAGTTTTGAACCTAGTAGAAGCCGCAACACGTCGCCAAATTTTTGATTTAATGAGTATGACGCAGATTATTGATGAAAAATGTTAGTTTTAATAAATATCCAACTAAAGCAATTAGTTGTTTTAAAAAATCACACAACACAACCTAATGACAAAATTTACTTCATTATGTTAGAACACCTTGTACAACAAAATCACAATTTTTGCATTGTTTTAATATTAATTTTTATGTATTGTCGTTTTTCTTATTCTACTTTTTATATTTTAATGAATATATATAGGGCTATAGCGAAGAAATGTTGCATGAATTAGCGGAATTATCACAACGTTCAGCGGAAAGACAATTGCATGCACTATTAACAAGAATGCTATTAAGAAATGACATTGATAGAACTGATACGATATCACGTGTTAAGGGGATCATTAAAGGTAAGTTTTTTTCTTTTTTTATTTTACTGTTATTTTTTATAAAGTTTAAGGTGAAATATTTTTTTTTTAGTTTTTCTGTTATTAAATTTTTAGTTTTAACCATTTTATATGTAAATACGATTATTATAGTAAACGGAAGGTACTTATATTCATCTAGACATTCTGTTTTCATAACCACTATGGTGAACAATTTAAGTGCAAAAAAAAAAGAAAAAGCTAAAGGAAAAAAAAACTTTTATGTTCCTCTTGGTTTGTTGTTTCTTCTTTTTCTCTGTTTCTTTTTTTACTTTTAAAACATTAAAAGATAAGACTTTTATGTTCCGTCTAGGAATACAATAACAACAAAAAAATATCCTCTTTGTTGTTTTTTAATTCAAACGGATTGCATAATTAAGTTTGTGACAGATGTTCTGTATAATATTTAAATATTTTAAAAAATATTTTTTTAAAATTTAATGAAAGGCAACTTGACACATTAGACAAATTTCAAATTTGAATAATTTCGTTAACTAAGACTTTTGTTTCTTAAATTATAATCTGGGAATTATTTAACTGCCATCAACGTTGATAGCGTAATTTTTATACCCAGGAATTGTCCTAGTTATTTGGTACGATTCTTCCAAATTATTTACACCATTTCTTGAACAATGTTAATAATGCAAATAGTTACAAAAATTAACAGTGTGTAATTCGTTTAAGGAAAATTTTTTTTACAATGAGAGAAGGAATTTAAAGTTAAGAAAAATAATTTTTTATATCATATTATACCTTATAAATTTTTAAAGCTTACTGTTTTGTACAAAAATTGTAGAGTAATTTTTTTTATTATCTGCTTTTTCATTTAGAGGACCCTGCTGAGGCGCCAAATAATTTTTTATTTGCTCATTTAATTACATTTATTTTACAGTGGATTCGCTTGGGCACCAAATGATATTTTCATATAGTAGATTCTGCCTGAGCGCCAGATAATTTATTTATCCGCTCATTTAGTTGCATATTTCATATGACGAACTCTGGTTGGGCGCCATATAATCTTTTCAAGTTTATTAAATTGCATTTTTGGTACAGTGGATGATCGGATGCCAGTGGATGCCAGATACTTTTTGCATATGCTCACTGTATAGTGGACTCCGCTCGGGCGCCACATGATTTTTCATATAGTGGACTCTGCTCAGGCGCCAGATGATATTTCATATAGTGGATCCAGTTCGGGCGCCATAAAATTTGTTCATGTTTATTTATTTGCATTTTTCAGATGGTGAACCCTGCTCGGGCGCCATATAATTTTTCCATAGGCATATTTAATTGCATTTTTTGTATAATAGAATCTGCTCAGGCGCCAATTGTATTTTTCGAAAAGTGGATGCTCGGGCGCCATATAATTTATCATGGTCATATTTAGTTGCATTTTTTGTACAGTGGACTCCACTCGGGCGCCAGATGATTTTTTCATATAGTGAATCCTGCTCGGGCGCCATAGATTTTTTTAATGTTTATGAAATTGCATTTGTCGTAGAGTGGATGCTCGGTTGCCAGATAATTTTAGCATTAATGCGGTGAACCCTGCTTGGGTGCCATATAATTTTTTCGTATGCATATTTAATAGTATTTTTCCTATAGTGGACTTTGCTCGGGCGTTTGATATTTTCATATAGTAGACCCTCCTTGGGTGCCAGATAATTGTCTAGTTCTAAACAGCTCCAAATCCAGCATAATTCTAAAAATATTTTAATATTCTACCTGTAATTAAAAATATAATATTTAATTAGAAAGCAGTAGAAAAAACGACCGTTGATAACTACAACGAGGAAACAACAAAAATCAAAATAAATTCTTTTGTCGGAATTCGAAATCGGATCCTTCATATTTCATTGTAATGTGTACTTTGTATTATGTAACTTTTACATACCTGCAACATTTTAAAACAAAAAAAAAACAAAATCCTTTGTAAAGTAACTATGGTCACTATACTTTGTAACTTTCCAACAATAATAAGAAATCCTTAATTTATTCAATACTTAAAACTACAACAGAAATAACAAAAACCTTTTTACCTAAACCAATAGTTTTTTTTTGCAAGCTGTACAACTGCAAAATTTCGTTTAAAATTTAACTTCTAAGGAGATTTTTAAATTAAAAAAGTAAACAATTACAATACGGACAATTATAAGAAAAAGAGAAAGAAAGTTAAACTGGAAACAATAGAACAAATTATTTAGTATAAAAAATTTTTATAATGCAAAATGAATCCTTAAAAGTTATGTCCTTAATTTTTTCATTCGTTAAAATTTTCTTTAATTTCTTGAAAGAAATTTTATATTCTGTATGCATGTATATGTTTTCATAATTATTGCTATATAATATATAAGAAACTAATTACTGGGTACAATAAAAAGAGTTTAAAAAAATATGAAAAGCTTCAAAATAGTGTAGTTAGGAAAGTAGTTCATAAACTTAACTGCAGTCAATTATGAAAAAAAAAATACTACTTTTTTTTTATATATTTATTTTTTTTTAACTCCAATTTTAATAAATTGAGTGGAAGATTTAAAGAAAATCACATTTCATTTAAAAAATTTAAAAATATAAAAAATATATATTATTTTAGAAGGGTGTATATTGGAATAAGGAAGTGAAATTAAGAAGAATGAGAAAGTGATATTATAAAAACCAGAAATTATTTGCAAATGACGCAAAGTTTTACAGAAAATAAGGTTGTGCTTACACAACTCTTCACCATACTTTTGGAATAAAGGGAGTTTACATGATTTCAGACAACAATGCTGTTGATAGACGACAATTCAAGTTGCATGCAGTTTCAAGATGCTTAGATTCCTGGTAGTTTTTGTGATTGAAGGAATAAGTCGATAGAATGAATGGTTTTTGAGCTTTAGTGAAACGTATTACTTTTTGGAGAAGTTAATTATGTACTAAATTTATTTACATCAAAAAATACTTAGAAAGGCGTACGGACGGCAAAATCTTATAATGTCTCTCATATTTTTTAGAAAATATTTAGCAAATATTTTACAATTAAAAAAAATGTATAAAATTAACTTGATATTGTTCTTACACTTACAATATTATTCTATACACAATATAAAAGTTAAGTTTTTCATAATTAAAAACTTAACAGACTATATAAAAGAATAGAAAAGCAACCCTTGTATTAATAGGACGAAAGGGAAAAAAATTCTCTTCATTATTTTTTTGAAGTAAACTCTCAGTTTTTTCTCTTTTTTTTTAGGTTTTGTTGTTTTTTTAAACTATAGAAAAATAGTAATTGAGAAAAATGACCATTGCTATGCAAAATTTCATGAAAATTAAAAAAATGTAAACATAATAAAATAATTTTTTTTAAGAAAAATATTTAATTTTTCCCAAAACTAACATATATATATAGGAAAAGAATTTTCTCGCAATTATTCAGAAAAAGTAAGAACTCTTTCCACTTGTTATACTAACATTATAAATACAGTTTATCGAATTTTAAATGTACAACATTCAGTTATGGTCAATAATTCAAGAATTTTCAATCACTTTAAAATTTATTCTTCTCCTCTATGTAAATTTCAATATTATTCTTTAATTTTTTTAAATTATTCATTAATTTAAACCAAAAATATTTTTTTTTTGCATATAATTTTCATTTTTAAATAAAAACGAGAATAAGTATGGTAGAGTTGACCATGTCAATTTTATGATATCCGTACGAATGAATGATTTTAGGAGTTGTATTGTTATTACCATCCTGTTTTACACGACCTTAGTTTTTTATATATATGCATTATTTTATTCACATAGAAAAGGCAGTTACCACATAAATTCGTACCATCCCCAAAATTTTAACTGAAATATTGGCGGTATTAAAATATTGTTTATGCGAGATTTCAGCATTGTGATTTCGGTATATCTTCTATAATATACGGCCAAATACCATTTGAAGTTGTACGGCTGTTGCCTGAGCGACCACTTCGATCACATCCAATTTAAATAGGGTTCCGCCGAATTTTGTATTAAAATTTTTGGCAACTTGCTGCGCTTAGCGCAATCTGTTTTAGAGCTATCGTTCGAAGGAGTGGGCAGACGCGGTTAAATCAACTCAGATTTAGATACTTATGTCTGTATCTTAGATCGTTATTTCTTAGCCTTAAAAACGATAATTCAAATTTACAATATCCTTCTACCACACGTTCGTACGATATCAATAAATTAATACGAGTACAGTAGAATTTATTTTTATTTTAGAATAACTAAAGAAAATATTTTTTTTTCACATTGTGCTTGAAAATTTTGAAATTGCATAAGCATAGGAGTATAAAATTTTTATATTAAAATTTTTCATTTGATTTACTTTTAAATTATTAATGAAAATTTATTATATCGTGCATTTATTTTACAATAGGCAAAAAAAAAATCTTGAGCTCAAGAGTTTTATAAATTTTTTTTAATTATAATTGTAGACTGAATCATTCAATAATTTATTATGGTATATAGTAGCATTTACGAATTAAGCATAAGTGCAATAGTTGGTGGGATGTTACAATAAGTCTTTGTTGTTTGTGTACGGACTCCGGATACCAGACGCTCCCCGTTTTTAATCAGACTTTCTGTAATACTAGAGGCCTCTACCATGGGTAACTTTTTTTCCGACGAAAATCTCTCGGTTTGGGCTGGCTGCAATACTACAATTTGTTAGGGACCTTGATATATTGCTAATATAGATAGAGATGGCAATCACAAAAGATCCTACGGCTAGACATGAGAAAGGCCAAAGGGCCGTTCTCGCCTACGTGAAAAAAAATCTTAATTTACTTAAACGAATTTCCAATTCAAAACTTCAAAGTAATCTTATCCTCCAAGTTTCGAGTTATGTCTAAGAACTGTTTCCATTTTTCGGTCATGTTTTTTGTGTTTTTTTTTCGATTTTTTCCTACAAATTATTTATTTATGTGCAATATTACACTTTTTTCTCAAATCATTCGCATACTAAAGATGTT